TTCTGAGACCCACAGCCAAACACTAGGCAGAGCTTAGAGAATCCTGTGGAAGAGAGGGAGGAAGGATTGTCAAAGACGCCACAAGAAAACCCACAGAATCAACTAACCTGGGCTCATAGGGGCTCACAGAGACTGAACCAACAACCAGGGAGCCTGCAGGGGACTAACCTAGGTCCTATGCACATATATTACAGTTGTATAGCTTGGTCTTCTCTTGGGGCTCCGAACAGTGGGAGCAGGGGTCATCTCTGACTTTGTTACCTGCTTTTGGGATCCTTCCCTCCTACTGGGTTACCTTATCCAACCTTAATAGAAGAGGAGGTGCCTAGTCTTACTGTAACTTGATATGCCATGACTGGCTGATATCCATGGGAGGTCTGCCCTTTTCTGAAGAGAAAGGAGGGGGAGTGGATGTGGAGTGGGGGAAAGGAGGTTGTGGAGAGGGACTGAGAAGAGAGGAGAGGAGGGAACTATGATTGGGCTGGAAAATTAATTATGTAAGTAAGTAATAAAAAAGAACTCTGATTCTATGGGAGTACAACATGTGTATTTTTCTATCGTGTATGCATTTATAAGTGACAAGTTTTCAGTGAAGTGAAAGAAACCAGGCATCCTGGGTAACTACAAATTCCCTTGAGCACAATACGCTTCCACAGTCAACAGAACTTTTGTTATAATGAGCAAGAGAGTGCTCTCTTTTAAAGCTGGTTGTGGGAAGACACAGACTTGACATCTCTCAATGTTTGGGATGATGTAGTTCAGGAAGATGCCCCAGGAAGAAGTATTTACTGGGCAACATTTATATGTTATTTGTTTATATGTTTATATCACCGAGCAGATTTATGATAAGTAACACAGTGCCCGTTTTTATAAACTTCCTGAGCTAGACTAAAAGATAGATTTTAAATAAATAATCATGCTAAAAGCTTGCTTAATTATACTTATACTCACACATCACCAAAAATATATACTACTTTACACTGTGTATTTTTACTAGAATCAGTATAAAACTGTTTAGAAGTAAAGCTCCTGGTTTTCATTTGTTTCTCGAGTCCGGGATGAGGCTGGTACAGCTAACGGGGTACGAGCTAGTTTCACAGACACAGTATCTAGCTAAACATCCTGTGGCCTGCTGTTCTCTAGCCAGTCTCTAGTTTTCAGGAGGGTCAACAGCTCAACAGCTATATTTGAATGAAGCCATGCTGGACACTTCTTGCAAGCAGGATCAGCCTGAGGAACCTGCCCACAGATCCCTGCTGTCCAATGGTGCTGTAATCTAATACTGTTTTCATCTCACTCTGAGACAGTAAGTCAGTCCCACTAAGTACAAGAAGTATTACACATGCTAGTTGACAGTTCTCCACTACAAACCAAAACCGGGCTATTGTATTTTGTTCAGTTTTATTATATTTATCTATTTATTTTGTACCATAATGCAAATAATGAGGTCAGAGAAGAACTTTTTTTTTTTTTTTTTTTTTTTTTTTTTTTTTTTTTTTTTTGGTTTTTCGAGACAGGGTTTCTCTGTGTAGCTTTGCGCCTTTCCTGGGACTCACTTGGTAGCCCAGGCTGGCCTCGAACTCACAGAGATCCGCCTGGCTCTGCCTCCCGAGTGCTGGGATTAAAGGCGTGCGCCACCACCGCCCGGCCAGAGAAGAACTTTTAAGAACCACTTGTGTCTCTCCACATTGTGGGTAGCCGATATTAAACTCAGCTCATCAGGCTCGGTGCCAAGTGCCTTTACCCCTGAGCCATCTCTCCTGCCTTCCCCAAATCCACAACCCTAACCAGTCATTTCCAATGTGAGAATACCAGAATGAGTCTAAAAATGCCATTTTCTTATTGTTGGAACAAAAAAATCATCAAAAGCCTATGGCTTAAAACAATAGAGACTTGTTCTCATTCACTTCTGGAAGTCCGGGGTCTGAATTAAGTCTCAGTTGACTGTTGGGTAGCTGCTTCCTTCTGCGGGCTGTGGTGGGGACCACTCCTTGCCTTCCCAGCTCCTGCTCACACCGGCATTCCCTGCCTTGAGGTCTGCATCACTCCAGTCTGTCCCCATTGCACTGCCTTTTCCCTTTCTGTGGTCCGATTTCCCTCATAAGATTATGGTTCTGTGTCGATCCCATCTAAATTATTCAAGACGATCTCCCTATCACAAGAACCTAAATCATTCAGTCCTCGAAGACCTTCGAATCTCTCTAGTTGCTTCCCATTCTGGGGTGAATGCAAACTTTCTAGAAGGCATAGGAGACACTTCTGCCTGAGGGTTTTGTCAAAACCCAAACTGTCTTCCGCAGGTCTCAGCCCAGCACTTTTTAAAGCACACCACCAAATAAACACACACACACACACACACACACACACACACACACACACACACACACACATCTGAAATGTCCACTCACTGCACATTTTCTTTATTATTGAAAACACATTTGAGATCATAGACTCAGTCAGGTTCCTCTAAAAAAATGTTCTTCATATATTACTATTGGGCATTTAGAGACCTTCATTTACACGTCTAGCCCACATTTCTTTGTTTCTATATTAAAATATAAAATTTCATATCATACTGTATCTATGATTCCCCAGTTCCGAGTACAGTAGCTGCCATGATCAACATGATCAACACATATTTGCCAAAGAGTGAATGAAGAATTTTGCCTGTGCCTGATCCCAGCTTTTCAACCTCCTTTAGAACACATTTGCTACAGTCCACTTCCACCTAAGTGTGACTATGCACATTTGCTACAGTTCACAATTCCACCTAGGTGTGACTATGAGTTCACATTCAGGATTTGCAGCTTTTCATTTTGTGCTTCTAAGTATAAAATAAAGGTGGCTGCCTCTGTTAAACAAACCGGAACTAAGGAGCAATCGTGCTGTTTCTGAAGCTAGGGACTCTTTTTGAAATCCTGTGATAACTGGAGGGACTTCTCAATGCCTTACACAAATAGTTCCATGGCTTATTATCTGCGAAGCCTCAGGTTAACATAGACCTGCGCCCACCAGCTGATGATAGGATCTCCTCTATAACATCCAAGATTATATTCTAAACCTACATTTCAGAACATGTAACAACTTTCTAAAAAGGGTCCATTTCAGGTTTTCTTTCTTGTGTCTTTAAGGGAACAAGCACACGCTTTGACACTTTTGTACCCTGTGACCAATAGTAAATGAAATTATAAACTAATGAAGGGAGGAAATTTGCTATCGTAAAATTTAAATTAAAAATGCAAGGAGCACAAATCACATTAGGGCACCATTTTGCTTTTTAATTTGAGACTCAAGAATGCCATCCACCCCCAAAATAGCCATATCTAAGATAATCACGATTATACCAAGAAACTGTTTGAGCATAAACTGCTGTGGCAGGAACTTGATGAGCTCAGCAAAGAGACAAGAAGAGTTTCATCTCTCCTCTTGTCAGAGTTAATGCTGTGGGCCTAGTACCCTGAGATAAAGGATTGGAAGGCTACCTCACGAAAGCAGACTGTGGTATAGCTAATAAGAAATGTAGATGGAGCCGGGCGGTGGTGGCGCACGCCTTTAATCCCAGCACTCGGGAGGCAGAGCCAGGCGGATCTCTGTGAGTTCGAGGCCAGCCTGGACTACCAAGTGAGTTCCAGGAAAGGCGCAAAGCTACACAGAGAAACCCTGTCTCGAAAAACAAAACAAAACAAAACAAAACAAAAAAAACAAAAAAAAAGAAATGTAGATGGAATACAAAGCATGGCTTGATGTCCTGGGAAGTGGAAATCAGGTAACAAAGGTGAAGCGGGTAGAGGGAGGCAGGCTACTGTGTCACATTAAATACCCCCGTGAAATGGAGTAACACTCTCCAAACAAGTCATGGGAACACCCTGAAAGATTTTCCTGGGATAATCTTTTCTATAAACTCTAGATAAATGGGGATTAAGTGAAATATGCTAATGTATATATAAGTTATGCACTATCATGTAGGAGGCTGAATAATACCTCTATAAAGATGTCTATGACTTAATTCTCTGGTACTGTGAATAAAGTACTTTACATGGTAAAGGGATTTTAGAGATGTGATGATTAACAACCCTGAGATGGAAGATGATCCTGTAGTGTCCAAATGGGTCCAACTGAGATATATAGGTCTTTAACACTGGGCAGTCTTCCCCACTTGGATTCACTCAGAGATATGTAAGCACAGAAAAATGATCAAGGACATATGACACAGTGGCACTGGCTCTGAGGATGGATAAAAGAGATCCCATGGCAAGAAATGAGGGTGGCCTCCTTAAACTGGAAGTGATGGACTCTGGCCCTGAATTTCAGAAAGGTATGCGTGCCCACTGCATTCCCCTGGCACAGGTGAACCCAATGAAGCCCATGTAAGAGCTGTGATGAAATAATCATTAGGTAAAATGTGCGGTGCTTTTACAAGTCGAGCAGGTGGCAACATGGTAGCTCAGCAATAGAGAACCCCACACCACCAAACTCTTCCACGGGCTTCCTGCAAACACGAAGGCGGTATAAACTGAAGCTGCTCGTCTGTCTCTAAATTAAGTGTTTAACTGATAGCCTCACTTCTGCCTTGGACTTACCTCTAAAACATGCCACGGGTGGAAGATAAAAGAAGACCCTGGGCCAAAGATCTTTAAAGGCCAACAGATCTTTGAAAACAGACACCAGACCCATGATTCTCATGAGGACAGCAGAACATGGCACCTGTTTACTCAAACTTTCCTTGAACTTGAGTGGAAATAACTTTCATCCCAGCTATCCCCAACCTCTCAACACCGCTTCCCCCAAGCCTGAGTTCTGAAGTGCCTCTGAGGTGTGTTTTATGCTAGATAGTGACATACGTTTTTTCTAGAAGCTACTCTATGTAAAAGACTATAAAATTTGAGCTGCTAAGGAAAGCTGTGCTGTTGCTGGACCACATGACATCCGCTCATTCGCCAGGCCTTACTTTATACCTTCCTGCTCTAGAACATGAATAAGAGCAGAGTTAAAGCACTTACCACTTTACAGCAGAGGGGCCAAAACCACCACATCAAGGCCACGCCCAAGAGCAGCAATAACACCAAAACAGCTATGATGGCTGCAATCCCGTTAGACTGCAGAGGGAAACATAAACAAAAAGTAAAGCTGGAGGTCAAATCCCACAGGCGATTTATTCTTTTAAGGAAGCTCACACCAGGCAGGAGAAAAAGAGCACAGGAGACAAAACAGTGTCAGACCCAAATTACGTTACGTTCTCTTAAGTTTTGTTAATTCCTTTTTATTTCACATAATATACGTCATGTTATGTTAAGATGGTCAGTAATAAATGTGACGTCTTCCAACATGCTACAGACTGATTTAAATATGTCCTAAAAGGATGTGAGAACCACAACTTCTTAGGATTAAACAAACGGTCCCCTTAGGGACTTTTGTGCTTAGGCAACAATTTTATTATGATAAAGTAGCAATTTCTTTACATACTTGGAAGGTAAGGAAGATATAAACATGGGCCAATAAGAAAAACACAATGGGGATCAGGTGGTTGTGGCACACGCCTTTAATCTCAGCACTTGGGAGGCAGAGGCAGGTGGATCTCTGTGAGTTCAAGGCCAGCCTGGTTTACAGAGTGAGTTCCAGGACAGCCAAGGCTACACAAAGAAACCCCGTCTCAAAAAAGAAAAAAAAGAAAAAAAAAAAAGAAGGAAGGGAGAGAAGGAGGGAGGGAGGGAGGGAGGAAGGAAAACACAATGGTTGTGGCTATGTATGCCTCAATGGAATGCAGCCCAATGAGTCCTTAATTCCAGCGACTTCTGGTCGTGGTTCACATGTGACTCAGGCAAGACCTTCACTGTCTGATTGCCAAGTGCCTCCACCCTTTAGACACCTGCTCTGGGCTCTGCCTGTGACCTTAACCTCCACTGTAGCAACCACTGATCCATCCTTCAGCCTCAGGCTAAGTCCTCCCAGTAGGAACCCTGCCTAGGATTTCATAGATACAAAATGGATTCGACAACAAATTTAGGCAGAATTGCTCTAGATTTTAATCAAAGCATTTTTACAATGGAACTAATTTTGAGCTTTGGATAATTTAATTCCATGTTTCTATCATGAATGTACGTCTTCTAGGAAATCAAAGGCCATTTCCCATCAGCTTGATACTCCTTGCTTAAAGTTTACAAACTATATACCAAGAAAATGAACTCCAAAGCAATAAGACTCCACATGACACAGATGTCAAAAAGAACATACACCTTCACTTTTTTCACTGAGTTTAGAGGAAACTGGCATCTCTGCCACAGCCCAACTTCCCTGGGATTCCCAGGAAAACTGTTTCAGTTGGTTGTCTTTTGCTGGTTTTGTTTGTTTTAAAAGAGAAAGAACTAAGAGAAGAAAAACAAAGGGAAAGAAATATTTTATAGAGAATTTGAGACAAACATCTCAGTGCTGTCTTCTTAAAGCCAGCAGAAGACAATCAGAATGTAGATGAGGAAAACACGGGAAGTGCATCACCCTTCCTCACAAGTTGCACACTCAGGAACAAATCTGGCCACCCCCACAGACGCAGTTACAATAAATACAAAAGCAGGCAAATGGGAACACACAGGAAAAGCATGTCCTGGAAGGACATGGGAAAACTATAGCATACGCTAAGAGAATCACATGCATTCTTGGCCTTACCTTCAACCGTAGGGTCTTGGGGAGATCATCCCCACCCCCACCTAGGCCCAGCAACTCACAGAAATACTCTGTGTGGTCGTGCTATACAACTTCACAAAGAGCTCTGCAAACATCTGATTGCCCCTTTTCTTAGCATTCACACCCTGTTTTCACAAAAGAGGAAATGCAACTAGAGGCCATGAATCTGCTGAAACGGAATGGTCACTTTGTTCTTTCTATGCAATGAACAAGAAATCACAAACTTGTGCTGACTATTGGAATATCAAGTAGATGGGCACTTAAATTCTTAATTTTTTCCCTCAAAATTAAGTGCCTCGATCAGTAAGACTGACAATACAGCCGACCCTCAATAGAAACAGACATTTAGTGTGACAACACTTTTATCACAACTAATTCCAAAGACTGCCTCCAAAGCTTAAAGCTGGAATACACATGTTCCGGAAGACTACATGTCTCACTTTCCTTTGTCTCAGCCGAGCGTGTCGGAAACAGGATGGGCGGAAGCAATGATTTAAAGCTACCTGACCTCGCTCTGTCTGTCTGTCTGTCCTTATCCCAGACACTAGCTCAGCTTGTTGTATAGGAATCGCACCTTTCCCATTTCCTCTGCATTTGTTGTCAGAGCTAACATCAGATCATAGAATGGGCAGCAAGGAAAAGGAAATGATTGCATTGTTCACCTAAGTTCATAAACATATTCAGGAGAAGCCAAGCGTGGAAACCACAGTTCTATGAATGGACACCATGGTGCAGACCTAGAGGCCAGATGAGGAAGATTATGAAACTGGGTCTAATCACTCCTAGATCTGTGTCATGATCACAAACCAAAAGTTTCTCACTTTTACTCAGAAATGCTCCCTTTAAACAGACCTCCAGCTGAAAAATCCTCATAAGTATTCAACACATGCATGCCATTTTTCTTGAATAAATGAATTCATATATACGACAGAAATCTAAAAATATTTTTCCATTCATCTAAACCACACTCGACAAGCCACTACTTTATACTGGACTGTTAAATGGATGCCGAGGCCACATATCAGACACGTCTTCATGTAGCCCACGGGTAGTGAAGCTTGGACAAATAACAAAAAATGTGAAGACTGAGGGGAAAAAAACCAACAGAAGGATGGGAAATCTGGCAGACAACCCTTTGAGGAAAGGTCAAAGGGTGGAGGAGTTCTGTAGGCATACCAGAAGGCCTTATAAAAGCGAGAAGCCACTGTAGCTGGGGTGTAGAGTCAGAGAGAATGGTTGATACCTAAAGAGACTCAAGAAGCCAAACGCAAACTCTGAAGAGCTGAGTTCAGGTTCTCCAGCAAAAACTGTGGAATTGGTGTTGCTGATGACTCCCGAAATCACCTTGTAAAACACTAACACTTGTACAGCCAGGGACTTCCCTAACGCTACCACTGAGGGACCATTGCCACTTACACACACCTGTCACTCAACAGGGAACTCCTCATATTCCACCTGATAACTAGTCATCCTTCTGGTTCCTCAAGGACAAAATAAAAAAAAAAGGAACTATTCTAAATATTCTAAATCTCTTTCTTACTCCCACAAATTACAATTTAGACAGATGAAGGGGCTCAGCTTGAAATGTACTGAAACCTAACCTCTTCTTAACCATCCCCACCACTGTCGCCCCAAAGGGACTACTTTCTTCCTGTGCTTCTTAGATTATAGGAATGCTAACAGAATTGGTGTCAACGTTTTGTTGTTGTTGTTCATTTTCACACAGTGGCCAAAGGGAGCCTGTTCAAACTTCTTCCTCTAACTAGGAAGACAATTGTAAGGCCTTACAGTAGCTCACACAGTATCAAAAGTCCTGCACCCCATCCATCACTGTTTCTTCCACACCAAGACCCCAACATTCCTGGCCTGTATCCATGCCAGCGATGTCCACTGACTCTTCTTTAGGAGTCCCGCCTCAGGCTCTGTCCTATCTTGGCCCATCTGCGCAGAACCTTCTTATAACACATGGTCTTGAGGACTTGCTCCCTCATCTTCCAGGCCTTGGCTCAAACATCACCTCAGTGAGAGTCATCTTGACTCCTATTTAAGGGTTAATATTTCCATCTCCAATGGTTCCCCACATCCGACATACCCGATACTCTTTTTTTAACATTTTATTCTTCAACAGCCTCTGGTAACCTAACTCTCCTGAGAACTCTCCATGCTCAGATACAATGGCCTCACATATCTGTAAGCATCAGGTGAGTCATTCTATCTCAGCACCCCTGCACATGGAGCTAGTTCTTGGCTATAAGACAGAAACAAAGACCTGTTTTCCTGCCTGCCAGGAGGAAAGATTTTTCAGTGGGGGTAGGGGGGTAAGGAAGGGGAAAAAGAATGGAGAAAGTGTCATTTCAGTGAGCTAGGCACTAAGCAACTAACTACCAGCACAAATATTTGTAACCTTAATCAACCACATCCTGAGAGACCAGAAAATCAAAATTACAACATCCACAAAGCCTATTTGCTGCAAAAAAAAAAAATGCTATTTACAAAACAGAAAGAAATTTTAAGTAAAATTATCCAGAGAGTTCAAAAGGATCAAAAGCCCATGTGGATACTTCCTTTTTCCTTACAACATTGTCTTACAGTGAGAAACAGATATTTCTGCAGAGGCAATATTTTGTGTCTCCTGAATTAATAGATAAAAATACATTAAAAACCATGATATGAGAAAATATTAAGCTTGCTATTTTGGTATTTTAGAGGAAAAGAGGGTTTCTTGTTTTCTCTTTATTTGCTTGAGTGTGTGTGTGTGTGTGTGTGTTTGTGCAGGTGCATGTGTGTGTATACATATAAAGTAATAGCCATGTAGAAAATCTATTTTAAAGCATCCTGTTTTCATGTTCAACAATCTAACATCAAAGCTTTCTGTCAATATACAAAATTAACTACAGTGAAAAAAAACTGTCTCTATGGAGTTTATGTTTTAAAGTACTGTATTTTAGATGATGCAAATAAATAACTCAACTGAAATATAGTTTCAAACTTAGCTATCACCCAGCTCTCAGAATGAGATTTCTTACTTACGTTAGAAAGTACAGAGAGCATCTATGTGGACAAAATGATGATATCACTTATGGAGGTGCACTAATAATTTCAAAACCTGATCAACCTCTTAGATACTAAATTCTAATCTTCATAATAAAAGAAATCATTTCCACATTTAATCTCCTAAAAAGAATGCTTCATTCCTACTCTCTTACCTTATGTTGTGCTAAAATATGACTTTGGGGAATTTTATAAATGTTAAAATCTAACGTATAGTACTTAGAAATCTTTTCAAAGGGATCAGAACAGAAAGAATTAAAATAAACTCTATATGAACGTTTCCTTGTCATGTTGTGACTCTTGCTTTGCACCTTCCTTGCTGTAATAAACAGCACAGAGACTCCCTAGGCTATTATCTCATGATAAAATTCTTTCTAAAGGTAATTAGCTTTTTACTCACACATTCTGTAGCTGTGACAGTTAAGGATCTTGAGACGGCAGACTTCCCATCATTAAAGCTGATTGAAACTTCAAGAGTTCTACAAAAAGAGTTAAGAAGCAATAATTAAAGTCAACTAGGAGATGTCTAAGGTCAAAACGACGAAATCTTTGCCAGAGCTTTTTAAAGTCATCAGCACTTTCACAGTCTTACAGCTGGGGGGCCAGGATTGAACCTCGACTTCTACCTGACTTCGAACCCTTTCCATCACACCACCAAGGCAAGAGGAAATGATGCAATGAAAGTCCTTATGGTGCATCTTCCCTCAACACGACAACTTAGCTCAGATCCACACAGGGATAGAGCCACAGAGAAAGATAATACTGCCGAAGTCAAGCTAAGATCTTATTCATAACTCAGAAATACTCCTGTTAATATTCTTATAACATGCCCACTTCAAAAAACTCTTCCTTTAGAAGAAAACAGTTTAGTTAAAAACAGAAAAGAAGGGGACTTTTTAATTTAACTGAATTTTTGCAGTATTTCAAAATAGAATGCCAAATGGCCTGTTTTTTTTTTAAGTTAAACCAAATTCCTTATTCTGCAGAACTTTGTTTTGTTTTGTTTTCATGACTAAGCATTACAGAATCCAAAATAATCTTTCCTAATTCCAAATTCTCATACTTTGATGTGTACAGTCATATGACAGGGTAGGCATGGTTCTATTTGGAGAAAAGGTTATTTTTATTGATGCCAATATATTCTTGTCAGGGTAATCTCGTTCACTCCACTCTAGATCCGGCTAGAGTTGTTTACAATTCCACACTGAGAGTCCAGCAGACATAGTCACAATTTTAGCACTTAGTGAGGTGAGTAAGAACACAAGATGAAATTTGAAAATTAAGGTGTAGAAGAAACACATGCTGAGACCTTAGTTATACAAAATAACTCGTTATCCTCAAACAACATTCTAGTATAACATGACCAGTGTTGAGTAAAACTGAAACAAGTCTGTGCAGATATGAAAATCTACCAGAAGCTTCTTTTTATACATGGTCTTCACAGAAACAATAAAATGCACATATTGGTAGCAAGATCCAGACAGGAGAGTCAGTAAGAGCACTAATCAATTGAGTTCTTCCTATCATCCAGAATCATTAATTCATCTCATTTAATTCTCACAGTAGTCCATGGCACTATCTCCATTCTGCAAGTCAAGAAACTGAAGTTTCAAAAGGTGCCTCATCAGAAGATTGGATCTCTCTGAATTTGTAATCCAGGAACCTTCACTTCTCTAGCATACCATCTTCGTCCTCCACTCCTATTTTAGGGACTTATATTTGCATTTATCTCATACACATTAGCCTAGGATTACTTATTCAGATTTTTCTATATTCATACCTTTTCATGGTTAACTACAGCACCATTTTCCTAAAACAAGATATTTACTCTTGAATATATATTTATGAATATTTATAATTTTGGAAAAGAATTTCGAAAGTGTTGCAAACATGAAAAACACAGTTGCTTCTGCTCTTGAATTCTGTTGTTCCTTTAGAAAGAGTCCTTAAATTCCTGGTATGGTACGGTATTGTCATGAAGCCAATGACTACCCCAAGCTCAAAGGTAGTTAAAGGCCATCTTCTAGCCCAAGGTCAATGCTTGGAGCACTGTTTTTCCCAAGATTGCAATGTACTTAGTAAATGTTTTCTGTCATATTTTATGTCCTTTCTCTTAATTCCAATACATTGCTCATTCTTGTCTCTGTATAACTCCTACTTCTAGTTAGAATGCATCTAATAATGGAATCCAGATCCTTGGTTATGAGATCTAATCATAGGCTGAAACATATTAAATAAATATTGTGTTTATTGAATTCCAGACACAAATAGGAGGCAATGGAACAGTTCATCTTTATTTGTCCAAATGTGACCACAGCTTGCAAAACTAGGCATATTTATGACATGTGTGGGGCAAGCTAGAGTCCCGAGCTTGAACTTATGTCAATCAGTTTTAATATTCCATTCCTCAGTCTGTAAAAGTACGGAAGTTATACCTATGCCAGAGTTGCTCTAGGGAGGGAACTTCACAAAATATATAGATGTTCTTTGCAGTATGTGAAACTCAGGCACTCTATGAAGCTTTGTTATAGCCAATGATTTATTGAGAGGACTTTCATAATATCATTATGGTTTTACAATCTTATTACAGCCACTCTAAAGAACTAGCACAGAGAATATAGGATATATAACCAGAATTAAACATATATGCAAGATATTTGCTTAAAGAATTTCTCTTCTACTGACATAAAAATATAGACAGCTAAACTGTTCAAAATTACCTCTTAATTTCGTGTAGACTTGTGTAAAGTAAGTTTGCAGTTCTATTTCCTGTTATAGACATCTTATTAAACCCAACATTATAGCTATGTTGAGTTGTGTTTGTATATCCATATGCATAGACAGATATACTCAAATCATACTCTAAATAGTTTGATCAATGTTTGCTAATATCAATCACTTGTTCTTTTACTAGTTAACACAACAAAGACTTTTAAATTGCCTAAGATACCACTAATAATTTCTATAAAAGAAGCATAGCCAAACTAGGATTTGTTTAATATGACTGTAATAACAAAACCAGTCACAATGTAACTGAATGGAAGATACACAAGAATTCACCATGGAGTGTGCCTGGCATTATAAGAAATAGATATGAGCACAGACATCCTATCAGACCGTGGAGGAGGACAGATAATTCATTCTTGGAGTGAAATGACAAAAGTTTCCAAAAGATAGTCACCTCTAAGACAAATCCTGAAAAATGATCAGGAGTTCAAAAGCAAGACAAAAAAAAAAAAAGTAAATTTGTGAAGATGGAGAGCCTGACAGGCTGAAAGACAAGAGAGGCAGAGGACAGTCCAACACGATGCCATTCTTGCAACACGGTGCAAGAGAGTGGGGAGGCAGCTTCTGGCTGAAAATGGCAGCAGCGGCAGGGATGGCTGCGAGGTCTGCAGAATTCGAGCTCCAGGAACCTGGAAATAGTCTGAAAAGGCAACGAGCATCATAAAAACATGGCAACAATTGTGTTTTACAAATGTCATTCTTGTTGATCTTGCCTGGAGATTTGGAGCTGGTTGGCAAGAAGGGAAGCCTTTGAGAAGATGACTTTATAGGTCAGGAATCCAACCATGAGGAAAATGGATAGTTAAGAGACTCAAAGAACAACAGGAAGCTGGTGTAACATCTGGAGAAAGACTGAAAACATGATGTCTTGAGAATGTGGAAATGGTCTAGGAGTGAGTGGCCATAACACATGATGATGTAGGAACACAAGGCTGAAAACCCAACTTACTCAACCCTGTTGGCCATAAACGGAACTAGAGTGCTTAGTACTTCTTCTAGACATCCTAACATTCCGTGGGCACTACCCTTCTAAGTTTTTCAAAATAAAAAGACAAAAGAAACCTTTACAACATATTACAATATGAAGATTTTTGAAATATATTTTCATGGTTCCTGTTAATTAATACTGATAAAGCTTAATTCAGGCACACTAAATTCTTCTACAAGAGAAATTGTTAAATAGTGCTCTGGCATATTATTGACTAAATAAAATCAATTAGTCTTCATGGTCTTAGTGCCTCAATACACCTACAGATACATGAGTAATCCAAGATAAGAGGAGGAGGAGGGCCCAGCGCTATATGTCAAAGCTACTCTGATCGGAGAAATGTCATATTTCATGAAATATGGTTAACATTTCAATCCACAGTAACCTAGTTGAAATGTGTGCATTTGCTCCCAACTTTATATATAAATATATATTCTGTGAACGATTTCTATTTTATGATCCATTAGAGAGGATTTTAAAGAGTAAATGAAACTGTTAAAGACATTTGCTGAAAGCACTAAATAATTCACCTCCAATTTGCACATACTGAAAATTAAACTGGCAACCACTCAAAAAGTTGTTAAAATTGTGGTGACTTCAGATATTTTGAAAGCAAGCACTACTATTGAATACTTTGCAGAGTGTTCTTTGAGCTAGCTTTGTGAATGATAATGATTTCAAACTGAAGAGAGAGGTTTCAGATTTGTGAGTAGTTCAAAGAAGCCACTTCAAATTGAGGGTACAGAGGTAAATTAATGTTTTGTCTAAATGTATTCTTTAAAGACATTAAAGGAATTTTTAATTAAATAATTTCCTTATGCTATGGTGATATATGTACATAACCAAAATAAAAACTACAGCCAGGAAGACTGACATCGTTCAGGAGAAGCCAGTGCGTATTCCAAGCTATATGAAATCACGTCTAAGGACACAGTCTAAAGGCACAGGGTTGCACTAGCACAACTCCTTTTTAAAAAGTTCATGAAGTTTAATAAAATACAAAAAAAAAGATACTGGAAAATAGTAACTCCCTACTTTGTTTTCATAATCATAAAATTGACATTGTAAGTTTCATGGGAAAGAACATAAGAAGCTGTAAGTGCACGCTTAAGAGAGACCATGTCATCGTCTTCTCAGTCCCAGCACACTCACTAAGACATTCTAGGATTTGCAAAGATCTTCCTCACAACACGGCAAAGTATGCTTCTCTTCTCATGCTGTTCTTTCTTTCCTTCGTTTGTAGCAATAAAGAGTAAGTCAGAGCCTTCCCCGGAGGGCTCTTCTGATGCTTGGCGAGGCCATATGTCTATCACATGGGAGCCACACCTTTGCCCAGTCTTGGAAGCATTTGCCTTAACATTCTTACATTTGGCAACATCTCGTTGGCCAGCCATACAAGTGTTTGAAACAAGCATTGTTGCTCTTAAAAGACAGTGTCTAGCCGGGTGGCGGTGGTGCACATCTTTAATCCCAGCACTCGGGAGGAATACCCAGGTGTGAGTTCGAGGCCAGCCTGGTCTACAGAGCGAGATCCAGGACAGGCGCCAAAACTACACAGAGAAACCCTGTCTCAAAAAAATAAATAAATACTAAATAAATAAATATAAAAGACAGTGTCTATAACTGTTTCAGATACTCAGGAAAGGGATACAGTGCTGACCAAGTGAATATGACATGCTGGTTGATATAATCAGAAGACAATAT